TTGGCAACCATTGAACGAATTTATATTGAAATTTTTATTAAATAATTAGTTTGAAGAGGCTACTGTTATAAGTAGTTGAAGATCGTCACGTTTGTAGCTCTTGACTTTTATGATGATCTTATTCTTTGAATAATTTCACGGCTTGTGTTGATGGCCAACATGCTTGATCTAAAATGTGGCACAATGAGAATAACCCCGAAAGTGGAAAACTCTATTCAGTTTAAGATCCTTAATATATTTGTGGACGTGGTCATGAGCAAGTTTATTTCCTCTCATTGTACGCCTGTAAAGTGTGGCGTTTTGTTCTCTATTTTGTGGCAAAAATCACTTTCACATCTCTGTTTCTAAAATTTTATAAAACTGAAAGATTTCCTTAGGTATTTTTTGAGTTGTTGAAACAGGACTATGAGTTGAGATATTCTAAACCTATGGCTAATAGAAAGACTACTAAACTATTAATCAGTGGCTTCAGTTTGGTTGGAGGAAATTCGTATGATTGAAACCCAGGGATTGAATTTCATTTAGGATTATTGGGTTGGCTGGCTTTTACCTTAAGGAGCTTATGTTTTGCTGTTGAAGTATGATCAGAATTTCTTGCTATCTTTCTCTGAAAAGCCTAGGATTTCTTTTCTCCCTATACATGATGAATTTGATGAAGGAAAATTTATACAGAAATTAAGTTGATGTGCCATACTTTTAAATTATGGGAGAGGGTAATTGAACATGGTTTATGACGTGAAGCTTGGATTTATGCCGGGTAGGTCGACTATTTAAGTGTTGATAGTTTTGATCGAGAAATGCAGAGAGAGTAAGGAGGTTCTACATATGATTTTTATTGATTTGGAAAAAGCTTAAGAAAGAGCTTACGATAACAAGAGAAGTTCTTTGGAGAGTTCTAGAGAAGAAATGTGTTTGTGTTGATATGACTTATACTTAAGTCATTAAAGATACATATACTAGAACTGTTACTTGTGTTCGAACAGAAGGAGGATTGATCAAGTATTTTTCTATTTAAATTGTATTACATCAGGGATCGACTTTGAGCCCATATCTTTTTGCTTTAGTTATGGATGCTCTTACTGTACATTTACAAGAGAATGTACTTTTGTTTATGCTTTTCGCTGGTGATATCATTCTTTTGGATAAAACTAAAGAAAGAGTTTAGGAAAAACTTAAATTATGGAGGTCAAAATTGGAGTCTAAAGGTCTTCGTTTGAGTAGATCTAAAACTAAATATATGGAATGTAATTTTGGTGGTAGTAGCTCTAGTGACAACGTTGTAACTATGGGTGATCAAATCATTAAAAGTCGTGAACATTTTTGATATATCGGGTTTATTGTTCAAAGTGATGGTGATATTGATGGGGATGTTATTAGTAGAATTCAAGCTGGTTGGTTGAAGTGGAGAAATTCATCGGGCCCGTTGTGTGATAGAAAAGTACCGCTTAGACTTGAAGAAAAATTTTATAAGATGGTAATGAGACTTGTAATGCTCTATGACACAGAATGTTGACCTTTAAAATAGAAGCATAAAACAAAATTAAGTGGTGCTGAGATGAGAATGCTTTGGTGGATGATATTTTGATACAAAATACGAAATTAATATATCCGTGATAGGGTTGGTGTAGCTCTAGTGGTTGACAAGATTAAAGAGAGTTGTTTTAAGTCGTCTGAGATGGTTTGGTCACATTAAACATCGACTATCTGATGATCCAGTTGGGAGACTAATTGTTTTAGATTCAATTATGCTGAGAAAGACAAAGGTAGACCTAAAAAGACTCGAGAATTTTATATAAAAAATGATCTTAATCTAATAGAATTAAATGACAATATGAATATGACACTCAAGAGGACACAATGGAGAAAAATGATTCATGTTGCCGACCCCACTTAGTGGGATAAAAGCTTGTTGTTTTTGTTGTTGTCGTCTTAAGATTTTAATATGGATAACATAAGTTCATTGCATTTATAATTAACCTATGATCAATCCGTTGTGTTATTTTATCCAAGACAAGTATGCTCCTAACTCCTAAATTTTGAAAAGACCTCCTAATCCATTAATTGATGGCTAGACAATAATTAGATCATTTAAGAATAAAAGAAGTGCACAATTTATAGGAAAGTATCATACTCTAGTGCTTTTCTTAAAAAAAAATAAATCCAACTCAATGTAAAAAAGGCTACATTCGCAGGTGCGGCACAATAAAATCTTGAGTATATTTTTAATAAAAATTAAAGAGAGATGAAGAATGTTCAGAAATAAGCTTTTGCATGATGCATACGGTAGTCATCTTTTTCCTCATATCCCAACCTCCAAAATCTGTTGTAATGGCTGCCTAGAAAAGTGCCTCCAAGAACCCTAGAAGATAGCTCCAGGTTTTCCTTTGGATTTCACCAAAAGTATCTCATTTGTTCCAATAAAATCCTTACATATGGCTGCATCAAATCTTCTAATTTTGGCGTGTATTTATGATGACTATGTTATTTTTGTGGATGGAGCCTTGTGGCACCATGACTCCGAGTCATTTGTCTTTGGGGTGCGCTTCTGCTAAAATGCATTGCTTAAACACTAAGCTATTGGTTGCATGATCTTGTTATGGCCCCTGAGCATCTTGGATTTGGCTTGTCTGCCTTGCAGATTGGAGTTAGCATTTGAGCACTCAGGCGACGAGACAATGAGCCCTTTGTCTTGGGCTTTTTGTTGGGTGCTTAGGCTCTTGAATTCTCTCCAAATTATGCAGATTGCACTTCTGATTTATTTGGATGGTTGTATGGAGTAAATGAACACAAATTTGTAATACATATTGCTTCAATCTTCTGCTGAACTACACAGTTAAAAATTAAATTATTAATGTAGTAGAACTCATAAAATCACATTCAACAACCCTGGAATTGCTGACCTAAGGCGGGCTACAAATATACACTTTCGTGGTTATTAGGTTCACTCATCATTAGTTCTGATAGTTGCGGCGATTGCTTAGGTGATGTGAGTGAATAAAGTCCCTATAGGAATCCAAACATGTGTGAAACTTAAATAGAGCAGATGGATTTCCTAGATTTCAAACAGATGCTAGATGCACAAAATAATTGAAAAAAGTTATATTCAGTTTTTAGCAAGGCATGCATGAAAGAATTAATAAATTTCTATGTAAATAAATATAGTGGCATTTGCATACTTACCGCCCAATTCGCAAGTATTTACATATCTAACACCTAAATTTTACTTTTTATATTTATACTACCCAAATCATTCATATCACATCAAAATATCACCATTTTAACTTTTAAAAAGTGAAATGTATCTTTTCATGCATAGTTAAGGTGGCATGTATGCAAAAATTAAAGTTTAGGTGTTAGATGTGAATACATATGAATTGAGTGGTGTGCATATAAATCTTCGGAAATTATGTGCACGTGATATTTACAAGAAGTATACTTTCAAGAATAGAACTAGTAGTAGCAGAACAACGGATCATACATCTAAGCGTATTCTTCAAGCTAGCATTGTCCTTCTGTAAATATTCAATTTTAGAATTTAAAACAATAAAATCATCATTGCAAGAAGAACAAAAAGTATTATTTAAACATGAATCATTCAATATACTAATATTTTTTCTTATAAATTTCTAACCTTACCATATAAAACGACATCACCACAAGTTATAGATGCACTAAATGAAGCAAAAAGTGAATTTTTCAATGAATTAGTTTTTTAATTTTAAGAATGTCAATCTAATCATATAATTTGTGTATAAATGTAGGGGACAGTGAATGCTGAATCTTTATAATTTAATACAAACGTTGGAGCAATGAATGAAGGGAGTTTATATTTTTACCTCATTTAGTGAATCATTCAATGAATTAGTTATTAAAGCAAATTCATAAGATGAAATTTACTTTCCTTTTACTTTCGATTGTATCTTGTTGCTGGAATCATTTATTTCATTTGTTGAGCATTTTTTTTTCTGGTCATGATTAATTAAATTTAATATGGTTATTTCTTCTTTACTTGCATTTTTTTTATTTGATTACCAAAATTTATGAAGGAAATTTTTTTATTCTAGCCTTTTATCGATTTACTCAACAGAATCTGCCAGCCTGTAGACCTGCATTGACACCAACCTTGGTGAGCTCATTATTATAGGTCATACTGATTTTGTGTATCTTTCAGTTCAAGTTCTTTTATAATTTATCCTCTTTTTGAACTTGTAAAGCAGGTAATAACTGTATTTCTGTTGATCGGAATTACTTTTCTGCCGTTTGGAATTATATGCTTTCGTGCCGCAGAAAGTGTAATTTCTATGTTCATTCATGCTCAATGTTTGATTAATTACCTATGAGCATATGATAATGATTCTTGGTAGCTTCATAATATCATTGTGTGCTTTCTTTCAGGTTGATGAACTTGTGCTGCGATATGACACTGAATGTATACCTGAAAATTATAGAGGCAATAAAGTAGCCTACATTAAGGATGACTCGATCTCTAAAATGTGTACATTAACAGTAAAGGTTAGTCCACATTTTACAGCAGCTTTCTTACCTGTGGATGCATAATGCCTTCTAATTTTTGTTTTCATTTTTATAACTATTGAGAAACATGATTATTGTGACCTGATTTTGTGTCTCTTGTTTATTTAGTAAAACATGAAAGGAAATTTTCCCCTTAATTTGAGTGGATCCATCCTTCTTTAATATTTAATGAATGAAAATTCATCTTACCTGTTGCACGATGCTCTTGCCAGAGCGGGTTTTTGGTAAATTTATTTGGAAGGGAACATAAGGAGATTTTACTTGCTTCCTAGGTTAATACAATATATATCAAAAAATCAAAATTTTCCATCATAGATATATGTGTGATAAGTGATTCTGGAGTTTCTAATGAAGGGGTAGCCATAACTATTGAATAGGATCTACTGCAGGCTTGTTATTTATCATAAATTTTATTCTTACTCTAAAATTTTAATTAGATTATTAGTTAGTTGATGAGTAAAGTGTTAAGATAGTCCCTTGATAGTTTAGATGGGGTCTTTTTAGTCCCAAAGTCTATTAAAGGGACAAATTTATCCTCGAACTCTTAAAATCGTCGCTGAAATGGTTCTCTGTGGGGATTATTTCAGCTCTTATTACAAGAGTTTGGGGATTAAATTAACACATTTATAGACATTTATAATTAAAATGACCTCTTACAAAGAGTCAAGGGACTATTTTGACACTTTTCTTGTTAGTTAATAATTTGCCTTGGTAATTGCTACTTGTGGCTATTTTATATTGTTCACTGATTGTTATTGAATTGAAAGTTATGGCTAATCCTTTCTGTTCTATGATGCTTAGGGGATATATTTATCAATTAGAATTTTTGGTTCTACTTAAAAGCATGTTTTTGATAGATGCCTGTCTACAGTAACTATATTTATTCTTCTAATTTTTTTGGATGTATAATTATTTATTCATTTTTTTCTTATGATCTTATATCAGTTTCCTCTTGGCTCAACAAGTAACAATGAGTGCCATGCCATGTATTAAAATTGGCTTCCCTCTGGAAACATGTTTTACCCAGTATTCAATAGCTTTTATTTTTTGCATTCTTTCTTTTATGAACAATCACAATATTTTGAAATGTCGATCAGACTTCTCAAATAATTGGAATAACATTTCCAATTTTAATTTGTTAATATCTGTAATTGTAATAGATTTAGAGCATCTTCTTAATTGTATGTAAGAATTTTATTCATTTCCTTGTCCTAGTATAATTGATTCTCGAAACTGCTTATGCAGCTACGAAACCAAATGAAAGCACCAATATATGTCTATTATGAACTAGATAACTATTACCAAAATCATCGAAGGTAAGGTACATTTTTTTAATCTAGCTGACTTTTTTTTTTAAGTTTGTAGGAAAACATTTTGTAGATTTTTTATCAGCTATGTGATTACTACCTCAAATTCTGCTGTTTACTACTGGTGGACAAAATTTTACCAGGTATGTAAAGAGTAGAAGTGATAGACAGCTTCTTCATGGATTGCAGTACAAGGACACTAGTTCCTGCAGACCCATAGAGTCGAGCAATGGTCTCCCTGTCTTACCTTGTGGGCTAATTGCATGGAGCTTGTTTAATGATACGTTCACATTTGATGTCAAGGCTGGAAAGTTAAACGTCAACAGGAAGAATATTTCTTGGAAAAGTGACCGAGATCACAAGTTTGGCAATGATGTTTACCCATTTAATTTCCAGAATGATACCTTAATCGGCGGAGGAAAACTTGATCCAAGTATTCCTGTGAGTATTTCAACCTATTAAAGTTTATTCATGTAATTCAACTTTTTAAGTAGGGAATATCCAGAAGGTTTTGTTTGCTTCTATATTTATATCTCAGAATCTTTATTGGGGTAAATTGAGTGACAAAACATATGATGCTTCTAAGTTGGAATGGCTATATGAAAATTCCTTCCTGTTTTCGCATTCTGAACATTGTTATTTAGGCACACATTCCTAGGAGAAAAAGTCTCTCCAACTCTTTAAAATGGAGTGAAGGGAAAATTTTATTCAATTAAACTCTGCTAAAATGTAAATGCTCTCTAAATTTCTAATACTTTTTGTTTTTTCACTATTTGGATTTATTTCGAAGCAGCTGAGCGAACAGGAGGACCTCATTGTTTGGATGCGTGTAGCTGCACTACCCAATTTTCGGAAACTTTATGGTGTGATTGAGAATGATATAGATGCTGATGAAGTTATCACGATTCAACTTTCTAATAACTACAATACTTACAGTTTTGGTGGGAAGAAAAAACTGGTTCTGACGACTTCAAACTGGCTGGGAGGCAAAAATAATTTCCTCGGCTTATCCTACATTGCCACAGGTTTCTGCAGCATTCTAGTCGCCATTCTGTTTGCGTTAATTCATGTGAAATTCCCAAGGTACATTTTACTTATCCTTGTATCATAACATATTTGATATTCAAGTCCTCCATTTTGCAAATCCAATCGCCATAGTAAAGATGGTCAAAGTAGAATTAGAATCATGAGATAGCCCTCCCTTTTCTTCCAATGATTAG